TGAAAATAATGAAGATTTGACCGATGGATTAAAAGCGGATCGAGCGATCATCATTAATGAAGCATTTAATTGGTACGTTGTACGAGGTGAGCGTAATTTACGGAATAATGACGTTGACAGGACGTTGTGATTGATTGGATCTGACAAGGGGGCATAGATTCAAATTTTGAAATTTGAATGAAAGACCACAAAGGAGGTCGAAGACTATATTGCAGAATTAAAGGAAGCATGTGCAGACTGGTCGAAAAATAAGAATTAAAACTTACCAACCAAAGGCAAAAAACAAAATCTACTCTTAGACCGAGTTACCTAAACTCGACCAGAGTGGAGGGCGAGGGGCGGCAGATGATATGGGATACCACACCAAGTAGAGCAAACTCAATAAATTGATTGACCAGGCCAAGTGAACCGGTTGGTCGAACAGAGTTGAAGGAAGGTTGAACGGAGGTTGAGTGCCACTACAGAACAAGGAGTCTTCATGTCGAAAAAGACGTGAAGGGTTCAAAGAGGCAATAACATGTCGAGCTAGGGCCCTCGATGATCTAATGGAAACTCGATGAAGGTATGGTTGGTCGTGTAATCGACCAGAAGGACAACACTTAAGCTCGATACACGCAACATTCTACCTCAACGGATTCGGGCTGATCGCACGACTAGGCGGTCTAATAAAATAAACTAATGGATAAGAAAGAATATTAATAGGATAAGGACCACACGTGGATAGGGTCACGTGGCCTAATAGAATTAGGCATTTCGGGTAGATCCAGCAGTACGGACTAGCTGTTCGGACAGTCTGAGCAGTCTTGGGCAACAATGTAACACTCCTTACAAAAGAGAGTGAGGTATACCCTCTAGAACATTACATATTATATACTCTCTATACGCTTGCATACAACATGTCATATTCTTCACTGTGTTAACTTAAGCATCGGAGGCTCTTTAGCGAAAAACTCATCCAGTGTAGATTTTTTGCAGGTCTGAAGGACGATCTACCGGCGAGGAGCTCAGATCAGGCCGAATCCAAGTCAGTCGAGGGTCATTTCACACCAAGATGTACTCTTTTTGAGTTATTAATATAGTTATCATGTGAAATGAAAAGTAAAAATAAATAATGAGTATTTGAGATAGTATTTCAAAAGCGTAGGGTTGGAAAGTANCCAAATGAGATTTTCTTAGTAATGTGGAAATGAAATATTCATAAGTGAGGACAAATAAGTGTAAATCTACTAAAAAATACTTTATAAATATTTTATAAATTATGATTAATCTACAATCTAACATTATTAAAGTTTAATATCCAATGTCAATATTAGATATAGATGATTTGTGAAGTTAAAAATTGTTGGGACATCAATATGTGTGCTATCACATCAATTTCAAATTCAAATGACCGTATAGTAAAAGTGAATCGCTAAATATATTTTTAAAGTATATTTGAATTTTTTTTAATTCCAATGTAATATAACTAAATAATTTTGAGTTGGACCACAAGTACTTCGTTTTTAATGTACAAACGTTTGACCAAACATATGCATGAGTTGGTTTGCAAATAAATATTTTTGAGTCACTTTACTTCAACAAATGGTAAAAGCTCTATATTCTTTTAAATAATAGAAGTATATGAACAATCTTGAGCAAATCATGCATATTTTTTTAAATAGACTTGTCATGTAGCAAAAATAATGTCATGCGTGACGCAACACCCACTTATAATTAAAATTTAAGGTCACTATCGTCTTCTTTTAATCAATTATATAATACATGAAGTCCACTTACCGTACTAATCACGTTGTTACTCTTATGTCATGCTACCTTGTTATTTTCGTGATGATATATAAACATAAACATATTATGAGATTTCTTATTTTAATTTATAATATACCTGTCATTTGTTTCAATAATAATGTATAATTATATTATAAGATATTATATATGTTTATTTATATTATTTTTCAAGTATGACGTTTAAATTTAAAAGTATGCAAATATGTTAAAAAGGTATGACGATGTACTTATGAGACCTAGCCAATCATTTATGTTACAGGTTGGTTAAATAGCCATATTTTACCAGGTGCTCGTTTAGTTAATTTTTTTAATCTGTTATCATATCTCAATGTGATTAACACTTTAATCTTAATTAGTCTGTGAGTAAATAATAAATGAGTGAGTGATAAAAATGTGAATAAAATGACAAGTGCGTGAGTGATAAAATGAAAGAACAATTTACATCCGATAATGAATTGACAACTGGGAATTATTTTTTAACTATTTTTTATTAAAATTTGAAAAGAGATGCATAAAATTATTGTCACCCTGACAAGCATAACTTAAGCCCCATACCTGATAATTGATGATATAGATATATATCACAACCCCACTAGCCACAACACAAATAAATTTCACAGATTCCTCAAAGCATTTTCATTTATCCATGTCTCTCTCCCTTAAAATATCTGCATATGCTTATAATTTATTTAACATTCTATTTAATTTATTAAAAAAATTAACTAAGATAAGCATCATCAAAGGCCATCATGAAACATCTTAGAGCATGTTTGTTTATGGAAATTTTTGATTTTGTTTAGATTGTTTGGTTTGGTTTGATTAATTTTGAAAAATGTGGTATGGTTAGGTGTTAGTGAGTATATTAAAATAATATTTAAAATAAAATAAATAAAATTGATTTGATGTAAAAGTATGAGAAAGATGATTTGAAGTGATAGTTAGTTAAAATAATGTGAGTGGATGAATAGTGAATTAAGGTTGATGTGGTGTGTATGATTGATGATTGATATTATTTAATTGTATTGATAATATTGATGATAGTGGGATTGAGTTAAAGAAGAGTTAAAAAAATGATTCAGTTAAAATATTGAAATTTTTTTGAAAAATCTTATAAACAAACATGCTCTTAGAATTTGTGCTATAACCACAACAAAAAACATTTTTTAATTTGATGTATGTCACAATTTTACAGTAATTTTAAATAGAAATGGGAAGGTAGTATTAGGGTTGGATTATATTAGCAAAGTTTGGAAGTGATTATTATACGGATTTTGGATAGTGGCTATTGTTACGATAATTAATTAATTATAACTCATGTACTTCTTAGCAGTTTCAATTAAATTTGCGGTTAATAGTCATTTTATGCATATGAAACTGCAGTGATAGTATATAAAATATTTTGGCAAATAGTAAATCGCAATTTTTAGTACTCTAAATGTAGCTCATAAACACATATAAGCAAAAAAGTCCTTCATGAATCGATTTGAATAATCCGTGTGCATAAAAAAAAAAAATAAAGAAAAAATAATAAAAGCTGGTACTTAGGAGGCGATTGTTCATGTTTTGTACAATAAAAAAACCAATTAAAACTCAAATTTAACTCAACTCCACTCTCTCCTATATTATTAATATAATTAAATAATATCAACCAATTATTTTTACACATCACATCAATTTCAATTCACTATTCATCCACTCACATATTTTAACTAATCACCACTTCAAATCATATTTATCATACTTTACATCAAATCAACTTTAATTATTTTATTTAAATATTATTTTATTATATCCATTGACCACTAACCATACTACATTTTTTTCAAAATTAACTATAGTTAAAAAAACAAACCAAATAAAAATTAGTTGAATCTAAACAATCACACCATTAATCCTCGACCAATAGAAAAGTATAGGTCGCCCGATTTCGCCACGTAATCGTAGTATGGATTTATTTCTAATTTGATTTAACTAATGTTGTTTATAGATGTATAGTCTAATTCAATATCTACTAATTAAAAACAGTGTTTTAAATACCGTACTGGTGGTCATACCGGTCTAACCACCGGCACACAGTATTACCGGTCGGCCGGTAACATCGGTTGTATTATCGAACTAGCAAATATAATGATATATATAAATATACATAAAAATATATAATATCAAATTCAAAAAATAAAAAAAATAATGACCGGTATTTACAGTATGATTCCTGTACAAACCTAACAAGTAAAACGTATTGAGTTATATATAATTAAAATATTTACTTATTTACTAATGCAAAAGACAATAAAATGCTATTCAATTGATTAGTAGACTTTTTTCTTTAATAATATATGGATATAGATGTAGGTTTATAGAAGTTTTTTCCTCATTCACAATATTTAATTTGCCTGAAAAATGACATAAAAATCTAAATAGTTGTTTAATTAAAAAACATTTTTAAATATGTAAATGTAGATCAAATCACTAATAATAAGAGTCTAAAAAACTTTACACTATCTTCAAACTTTAGTTTTCCATGAAACATATAAATTATTCATATTATTTTGTAAATGATAATTAATTTATGAAATATTTTTATTTTACAAAAAAAAAAAAAAAATAAGTTAGTAAA